TCTGCATGAGTGTTCGCAAATGGTGAATTGTGATTCAAGTTTTTAGTGGCATGTAAGAATACTTTCTGCGTATATTTCATATATGCAAAGATCGATTGTGTATGCACTCACGATATGTTATGGTATGTTTGAATGCTATAATTCTGTTGTTTGACATCGGGATAGTACGCATAGGTATGTACGTCTCAATAGTTTATCTACTATTTGACCAAATATTTAAAGTTCAAAAAATTATGACCCTGCTCTCAGAGTCAATTGGGCTGCATACCTCGGCAAGATTTCAGTAAACTGCCTTTTACCGGACGCGTGACTGAAATTCTGTCCGAGATCGATAGGTGTGTAGTAGATAGTATACATGCCCAATACTTTTTGTTTAGTGGCTCTACATACTTTATACATAGTTCAAAGTGTCGCTACCTTCTCAAAATTACTGGTAATAAGTGGTTCATAAGTATATTGACAGTATATTTAATGTCTCCGGAGATCAAACTCATCTGCCTGAAAATATGGTAGGACGGTTCAACAAGGCATATCTGGCTTATTATTTGATGTATATTTCGGTTGTACTATTTGCTATCAGCAGGTATTGTGGCCACAAAGCCACCAGATTTCTCACGAGACTGTCTAGTTTAGGTATAACATAGCCTGTTAATGCCTTTATGATTTGGCTACGTGTTGTTTTCATGAGTCTCTTATAACATGTACCACCATTCAACCAGTGCGTACTCACATCGGACTGGTCATGTGTGACTGGTAGCTTTTGGCTTTTAATTATATGGCATCTCGGTGCCTGGGTTTACGCAATAGATAGTGTGATTTGAATATAGAATTTGGTTGTATATCAAGCAAGGTGCTGGCACTGTCCCTGCATGCGCACACAGAAATAATGGTGTTATTTGTGTATGAGCAGTATAAAGCACATATTCCTCGTCAAACATTCCGAGAATACATATTGTCGAAACCTAGAACGTGTCTAAAATGGGTGCAACTTTGTACAGTGGCATTTGTACAAATGTCCGTGTCAGTGTGTTCCGCCACAATTACATCAATAAAATAATTGATTGTTCGGAGATCGGATGATTCGATGTTCCGTTACTACTTCGCCAGAATCTTATGCAAAAGTAATGAATGGTTGTTACTGTTTCAAAGTAATGTGCGCACTATTTGCGGTTGATGCGGAGCAGATATAGTGTGGATTTATCATCGTAAGACTAAATTCCTTGCCTGGTAGGAATTCTGACAACGAAATATTCCAAAATTTTATTATGTCTCGAATGTTGTCACGAAGCTTCACGCATACTGGGTTTCTTCTCTAATTCAACCTACTGTTTGTCCGAGGCTGTTGTAAAGTTGATCTTGATGTGCAATCCCACTGGCGTGTCAATCTGCCTAGACAGGGCGTCGAGGCAGGGCGTGACTGGAGCATGTTATTTCCCATAGCTAGTCTCACCCGATGACTTAAAATTCGATAGTGATAGACGTAGTTGAGGTTATCATCGGTGTGCGTGCATAATGTGTCGATGTAATAAAATCAATCACATAGCGAAAAATCACTGATAACTGATTTAAAGACAAGTTATGCAGGCGGGATGATACGATGCCGTCTTTTGTGATCAATCAATTACATGTGGTAGTTTCTGGGCTCTTAAATCTTATGTATCACGAGTGTCACCAGCTTCGTTTGAATCAGCGCCTTGAAGTTGTTTGATTCCGTGATACCGATCTGAAGGGTTCGATGTCAATTTAAATCCGCTCTTATGAATTCTATACCACCCATACTACACAGCGGCCGTGATATTTCGGATGTTAAGGTGATGACTTACAACATACTCGGGGACAAGCTCATGAAGGCGCACGCCAATCTGTACGCGCGAACCGATACACGCGTGCTAAAATGGGACTACCGATTTGTATGTAACACCATGTTGTGCATTCCCACAATGTATATTTGGAGAGAACCAGCAAGTCAATATATCCACATGTGTATGTCGTAACGGTTGGAGAAGGAGTTTGCTATTGCTAAACAACATGACACGTTATATGTTTGTCCTGTATCGCAAAAATCGAACCATGTATATATATCACAACTTGCGACATAAGACATGTCGAACATCAAAGCGTATCAATTTGAAAATACCGATCTGTGCTACAACATCGTATGCGAACTCGTTGCGTACTATAAATCTTTGTTCTGGATTTTTGTGTTTATGGATATTATAGACCAATATTCCGAAGTGGGAGTGACTGTTGTGGACGTATTATATCACGAGGCTGTCTCGATAGCTATGTTGAACGTCTCCGTCGTCATTCGCGTATCTGTATATACCGATGAAGTTTAAAATGTGCATGACAATGGTGCGGTCGTGTTGAATTGTGTCTAGTGTCTTCTAAAACCCTACTATTGCACCAATCTCTGTTCTGAAGTGAAGATAACAATGTCTGGGTTTACCGTATCAAAATGTTTCATCGTGCTATTTCTTTTGTTAATATATACATCTTTAAACACGTATGGATACGTGTGTGAGTAGATGGTTTGTTACCTAAGTTGTGTTTGTTTTACATATCTGCTTCTTTCGATGTATAATGTATATATGTATATATGCGATGTCTAAAAAGCGTCATGCGCGGTTTGTTGACCATTTTCCGACTTTATCCATCGAAGTTACTTCCGAAAATGTTCGCGTTAGTACAGTTCCTACAACAGAATCTCACATATATTTGTGTCTATGTTGTTGGGTACCACACCTCTGATTTTTGATTTCAATTGGATTTTGAACACTTCAATTGGTATATTTGTATATATCTATATATACATAAATATATACATTTATATATATATATATGCAAATTCACGATATATTGTTGTACACCCTGTACCTATGAACTCAGTACCGCATGGCCTCGCAATTCAGACGGTGGCGACTATCCCGATATCTCAAAGCAGCTATGCTCACGCATTGTTCATATCGGGTTGTTGAATTAGCTTTGAGGTTTAAAACGCAAGAAAATACTTTATGCGGTCTGATTGCAGCCCCGAATATTAAATGAGATCAAAGACAATGCCCCGGACGTGCTGTGCCTTCAAGAGGTAGAGTGTTTCGCCGAGTTCGAGAATGCGCTGCAGATAGAAGGATACGCGGGCATGTATCAGTCACGCACTGGCGACAAGACCGACGGGTTGGCATTTTTCTATAAGTGAGTATTCCTTGTGTATATAGATATCAGGTCAGGTGCGCCTTATTTAGTTTCTCCGAGGTGCGGCACTATTCCCATGTGGAGATTTAGAAAGCTGACGATACACGGTTGTGTACCAGCCACGCACTTGGGTTAATACTGACGGGCTGCTTTTTCACTACAAGTGAGTATAGGAAGTGAGTGCATGTTCTGTCTCCTGAATTGAAACGGCGGCTGATGTAAAATCCCTATGTGCAATCGTACCTGTTTTTAGAACAGATAAATTCCAGCTACTATCACACAAGAAAGTGCGGTTCCGGGCGACAGAGGAGAAGGACGCATTGATGACGCGTGACAACGTGGCGATAGTGGCCGCCTTACAACTGCTCAAGCCCAGCGGAAAGAGGGTGTGTATAGCCACAACACACTTGCTCTTCAATCCAAAACGTGGGTATGTGGAGCGTGTATGCCTATGTGTGAATGTTTATGTGTCTGCGTGAGCGTGAATGCGTATATGTAGAATACAACTGTATCTACGTAAGTATATATATATATATATATATGTATATATTATATATATATAATATATATATATATGACCTCGTCCGACCCCCCCCCCCCCAACTATGGAAGGGTAGAGCTCACGAGCTCTTGGCAGTGAACGATACTGGTATCTCCAGGTTCTTGGTCGCATTGTTAGTACTCTGGCTAAACGGGCAGATGATGTAGATGCTTACCGTTAGTACGGCACGATCGTGCACATGGTTACCTTTCGCTAAAAACAGTAGTAAGTTCCAGCCTTATCTTGAGACAAAAGTATGTTCAGCAGTGGGATGCACTTATACATTCATGGTTCATGTGTATATAATAGACTAGACGAGCAAGCACTGCACGCTTTTGTATGGATATGTATATCAACAATTGGTAGTGTATGTAATACAGAGGAGGAGGTGCGCCCAATGAGCCTTATATGAAATGTACATTCTAGGAACAGAGTCACCGCTTTGTCTATACGGATCACTGCGCAGAATTGATATCAGCAGCATTCGAAATCGAATGCGGGTGGCATTTGAGACCAACTTCAATAACTCAATCCGGCTATATAAAAGAGTGAATCTCGTTTTAAATTAAAAATAACGAACAAAGTCGAGCGTCACAGTCCCATTAATCTGACACCTGCAAACGGGCTCATTAATATGGACACGTTCAAAATCAGGGATGTCAAATTAGGACAGATAGCGATGCTTTTCGCGGAGATCGATAGGATAGCCAAGTCTGATGCTGTGAATCCCATACCCGTGGTGGTGTGTGGTGATTTCAATTTCAGGCCGAGCGCGCAGCTGTTCAAATTCATACTTGATGGAACTATCACGCTGGACACTGCTCACAACGCAAAGATGCTAGGGGTAAGATATTCATTTCCGTACCTATCTATGCCTGTACGTGTGTTAGTACATGTGTGTATGTAGTACGCATCTCGAGGTTGTAAAGTTATGACTTATGCGCGGACACGCGCACACTTTTGTATGCATTGGTACACCCGTGACGTCCCGATAACGCACTATTCACGCACACAGCATATCCATACTTACCCGGCACTACGCATAAAATCGGGCTCAACGCGCCAGTGTACACATACAACTTACATAAGTTTTTGCAAGAGATACATAATACACACCCACAATATATACTATACACCAACGCATATGTACGTGTAGATGCCGGCCTCGCAAGTCAGAGCATTGGATGCAGAACACAAGAGTACGCATGCGGGGAACAAGCAGCAACGGAAAGCAGCGGCGATGCGCAATGAACCATTCGCCTTCCCACCACCAGAACTGAGTCATATGGATATGGACTGTAGGTATAGGGATGTTGCTCAGACGAGTACTGAGGGGATGCAAGGAGTGAATGGGCAACCCAGGACTGTGGGTGGAGCACGAGCACAGACGCCCAAGAACGCGTATGTGCTTATCTCGCTTTGTGGCGCCAGTGTGTCCGTTTGTAAAAAAAAAATCTTCATATATGAGTTTTATTGTCGATCGTGCAGTACGGCCATGAGGTAAAACCCGACACCCCAGATAATCTTTTTGTTGGTTTCGCATATTCGGCAAAACCATGCATGTGTCCTGATTAGTCCTCCACCTGGAACCGTTTCTACTCTTTGTCATCCTCCACTTGTCCACATGTCACTGGTGTGAATACATACGCCGCTAAGATGCCATGCGAGCAACTAGGCATCGATTTATTTACGTATTTATAAGGTTCAGCACCCGCAAACTGCTTCCACACTCAAAGCGCACCCTCTGCATGGATCCACGATTCTCTTTAAGCCTCAGTTCGCTCTTATACTTACGTAAACGTATGTTGGAGTGAATTTTTTTACTAACACCTGTCAATGTTTCTGCTTACAACCACACAGTAGCCCAACTACGTTTGCACACCAACTCGACTTGGCAGCTGCATATAACACCCACGAAGCGAATGGGAATGAGGTGGCCACCACATATCACATGGGCCAGAAAGGGGGTGTCAAAGTCGACTATATGTTCTACACTCAAGAGTATGTGCGTGTTGAGGACTTTGTGATATCCTAGTGAGCTTCTGGACCTGATATATCATAATATATATATATATATATAAATATATATATCTGTATATATAAATACATCTATATGAATATATATACATCTATATATATATATAGTATATATATATATATATATATTTACTATATATATATATATATATATATATATATATATATATATATATATATATATATATATTATATGTATATATACATGTATGTAAAGTATGTGTGTATATATATGCATGTATATATGTATGTCTATAGAGATTCTATAACCTCCACGTGGACCTGGAATGGCCAGTACTAGGGAACCATAAGTATTTGTAACTATGGCTCTATGCATATTTCACTTTTTTTTCTAATATCAGTTTTGGGTATGTTCCATCTACACGAACTCTATAATATATACTATGTGTGCGTTTGGGAGTGTTCGGTGAATGAGCTATTTGTGAGGCTGGAAGCGTATGTGTTCCTTTGAAGACCCGGTCATTGTTTAAGAATCTGAGTGCCCTTGAAGTATTTGTGTGCGAATGAACTCAGAACTGTAATGTCGTATTGTAGGTATCGTATCGTGTCCTGTACATGCTCGTACAGGCATTGACCATACCCTGAACTCATGTGTAAATGATTTAAACTAGCACCCAACCATGAACTTGCGGAGTGTGTGGTAATGCTGCAATGAATAGCTCATATATAATCATTGGCATTTTGTGCACAGATTGTTAACTCTCGTCGAGCGGCTGTCATGTGCCCCCAGCGCCGAGGTAAAAGCCTTTAACGGTTTACCCAATTTACACCAGCCGTCTGATCACCAGTCACTCGTATGCCGCTTCGCAATAAATTCATAGATTGATGTATAATACCAGTGAAACTGAATTCAGTATAATTCCTACTTGATGAAATCAATGGGAGGTAGATTCTTTCAATATATCGTTGGGTTGTGTACACAATATTCGAGGGCCCGGAGATTATGGGTAACCAGTCCACACACAAGTTGGCGTACACATTGATGCTCATGCAAAGCAATATAAACATGGCAAATGGGGGACATACCAGTCGGATCAAGCTCCTGCCCATATTCTCGAACAACTTCCAGTAGATAGTCGCCGGAACCGTGAAACTCAAATTCACAGTACCAATAGCGCCGGTGACACTCACTAGCATATTGATAGCGGCCTGAAAGTAAGAGAAGGAAAACATGACAACGTTCAATGCTACGGCCACTACATGGAAGGCAATGTTGCCGCTCTTGGTGAGGTAGTCGTTGATGCCTGCGGCCTGTTCGTGCTTGTCGGCAAAGATCATACAAGTGGCAAAGGCATGTAGGTCTCTAGCAGCGTGTGCCGGTAGAGAGTAGGATGCCGTGACGACAAACGCGGTACCAACACAGGCGATGGATGTCGTGATGAAAAGGGAATATGCATCTATGCTATTGTAAATGGTCTTGTCTCCGAATTTTAAGTATCCGTAGATGGAGATGATTGTGTACAGCACAAACACGATCTACAATGATAGTCGAACACACATTAATGCGTTTGACCGATTGTACGCCTAGGGCGTAGAATTTGAACTGGGTTGGGCCAATACAGAAACCGAGCAGAAATATTGGGAAGGCGCGCATATTGCCCTCACAGTTACAAATGTACATACTGGTTTTACCCATACGCAAGTCGTTATTGCTCGACTCTCCACAGGTATCAAAGATGTCGACCCAGTACGCAAAAACTACAAAGGTGGTCGACGGCCAAAGATAAGAATAAAACATACTTTAGCATGGTTAGAGGTGCTGCAAACAGACTCCAGCACATCAGCCAGAACCAGGTTTGGTGAAACTTACACTGCCATTCTGGATCATGCGCCAGACGAATTGCTATTGGCAAATAGTCATGCAGATGACCGCACCTGTCCAGAAAGTGTCCAAAGATTCGCAATAAGTACCAATCAAGTGGGGGTAGGACTGTTGACAGCCCTCGCTAAGACTCGTAGATCTACTTCCTATAGTCTTGTCAGAGATTTGTTCGAGATTTGTTCATCAGGTGCAGTCGTGCAGACCGAAGTGAATTAACAAGCAGAGTCCCAGAAACAGCAGAATTTAATAAAAGAAAGAATATGACACCGTCACTCATGATACGATTGCGTCACATATATTTTTGTAAACGTCATAGTCGAAAAGCACTATGTTCGTCATTGCTTATATTTATTAATGTCTCTTGGAGTTTTGGTGCATATGATCGAAGCTACGTACGTCATATTTGAATAATAGACTGGAAGACTATATACTTGCGTCATTCTCGAAAATCGGATGACTCTGTATAGTGAACAATGACTATATTAAACATCAGTAATCACAAGGCAAGGAGATTGAACACTGCAGACACAATAAATAAAAATGTGGTAAATACTGTATGCCTATTTACATAAATATTAAAATCTTGTGTACATATAAAATATCACTAACATATATAGTATTTCTTTGAGTGGAAAAACGTCCGGTTGGCTGTGTCTTTTCCAGTCGAATACGCGTTCAAGAATCTATAGGTCACAGGCTTATCCTCCAATGGTATAATTGTTTTAGTATGACGAGTATTCTAGACATGGTCTGAGAATCACTATGTTGAATTCAGAAGTTCCGGACACAGAAAGTGAAGCGGATAGCTTTGTTTTCGCAGAATATGAAGACTCGACAGGTAAAGCACATAGCGAGCTACTTCTAGTGGTGTTCTAAAATTGAAATGACACCAATATTGAATTTTACATATATTGAATACCCGGAAGTGTACGAAACGATAAAATCCGTATAATTTGACTTAAGTTCCACTTACACGCACACTAACCCTCACGATGTATGATTTTCTAGAATACATTTGATAGAAGGAATATATATATAAACACACACACATATATATATGTA